ATATATATATATATATATATATATATATTTATAATTTTAGAGATTTTTTTTTTATTTTAAAATTGACTTATTGTTATTTAAAATTATATCACATTTTTTATCAAAATCAATATTATATTATTATTTTTATATTCAGAAATTCATTTTTTTAAATGTTGGAAAAACAATTTCTAATTAAATCTATTTTATAACAATTTTAGCTTCAAACAGAAATATTAGAATATATTTATATTATATATTCTTAATAATTATTAAACAAAAATCATTCTTTTTATGAAAATAATTAAACTTTATTTTTATGTATATACAATTTTTATAAATATTATATTCTTAATTTTTCAATTCAAAGTTTATTTGAGTTTTAAAAAATTCTCATTATATATCTCTCTTCATTATATATATATAAAATTTTGTAATAAATTCTATCAAATATCGAGAGAAGTTTTTACCGTTTTTTATTTAAATTAAAAAAATATCAACAACAAAAACTTTCTTGGACATCTGATATATTATAAAACAACAATTATTTATTTTTTACTAATTTTAATTCCATTTTCATTTTAAAAAGTATTTCTATCAAAAATGAACAGTATTTAAATTAAAAATGATTTATTTATTTAAATTGTTATCATAGGATTAATTTATTTTTAATAAAAAAATGAATAATTAATTGAAAAGACGCATTATTTTAAGTTGTTATCTTTTATTTTTACTTCAAATCAATTTGTCCAGATCTAATTACGTATTATCTTTTTTCTTGTAAGAAATATAATTTTATATATCGAATAAGAAAAAACTTCATAAGTTTAATAATTTTTACTATCAACTATAAGTTAATGATACTATAACTTGAATGTATTTAAGTTTCACATATAGAATGTGTATATATTGTATGAATTCAATTTAAAACGAACATAAGTAGATTCTTTGCTCTTCCTTTTCTTAGTTATAATTAAGCGTGTAGACATATTCAAGAATTTAAGGAATATCTGAATGACGCAATGTCGTCGAGAATAGTGCATGTAATAGCCCGTAGTGTATACTAACAAATTTATAGCACCAAATTGATTGGAGTAGAAGTTTACGATGGTTTTTACATCCGGCCTGTCTCGTGTCGATATAGTTGCAATTCGAGACTGTTCGAATTTTAAGTAAATGTTCGTAGGATACGATATACCCGTAACGTTTTATAGAAAATCCGTTTCCTCTTTTCCAGACGAGTTTAGAACCCTCCTTCTTCCGTGATCTTAGGCGCGAATGAAGATCTTCGACGAAAAATAGGAAGAGAAGTACGTGTTAATACTAAGAATATGATTGTAGTTAGAGATATCCAGTCATCGTAAAGAATTAGAAGAAAAAGAATAACTTTGGTTCTGACTCGTGTTCAAGGTGCGGCATTATATGGGATCCAGTTATAGGAACGAATTCGATGCTTGAAAATAATAATAATAATAATAATAATAATAATAATAATAATAATAATAATAATAATAATAGGTTTGTACGAAAATATGATTTTTGCTTCGCTTTGAAATTGACTAATTTATATCTATTGCTATAATTTTATATCTAATTTTATATTTAATTGCTATAATTTTTATGAAATTTGCAATTCTTTTTTCATGGCTTATGTTATGCACTTTTATTTTTAATTTTTAAGTAATTTACAATCTATAATATAAATGTTTTTATTAATTGTTGAACATTTATAATATTCTAAAGAAAAAATGATTAAATAGAATATCAATCACTTAATTTTCTTTGCTACTTTTATTTGAAAATTTATTTTTTAGTTTAATAAAAGTTAAATAATTTACAAAATTTAAATAAATTTTAAAGTAAATTTATTTTAATAACATTTGCAATAAATTTTAATAAAATTATTGAATTAAAAATAAACTTTGTAACTTAAAAAAAAATTAAAATTAAAAATATATATTCATATATATTTTATTATATGAATATATTTTATTGTTTTTAAGTATTGAATATCTAAACAAATCCCACATATGATGCTGTACTCTTCAATAGCATTCATTTTTTAATCTATAATAAAATTAATTATTTAAATTGTAATATCACTTTTATTTTTATTATTTTAAAAATAAATAAAATTCTAAATTTTAATATCAATTTAATAACATTATATACTTAATATATAATATTTAATTCAATATTATATAATAATGTTTAAGATAATATTTATATTAATTTTTTAAAACTAAGTATATATTTATAAATCATATATTCTAATTTAATATATGCATCATTATAAACTAAATTTTTAATTAAATTTTCAATCAGTATTTTTAATTTAGAAAATTGTTAAAATATGCAACATTGTATTGATTTACTAAATATATATTATAATTTATTATTAAATATAATATCAAAAGTATAATACATCCATAATATTAAATTGTATTATAAATTATAATATGTATTTATGTATAATAAATTTTAAATCTATAAAATTAAATATTTTTTAAATATAATTTTTAAATATACAATACACAAAAATTATTAATAATAATAGTATTATACTTTTAATAAAAAATATTGTACGAATATCATTATTTCTATATTTTTAAAAACATATGTATCTTTATATTAAAAAAAAATTAACAATTTAGAAATTATTTAGCATAAATTATTAATAATAAGTTAATAATAATAATAGCAACTAAACAATTAAACTATTAATAAAATGAAAAAATTTCAATTTTGAAACGTTTAAAAATTATAATGTTTTATCTTTATTTAAATATCATTGTAATGTTAAATTGATATTTTAATTTATATGATCATATTAATATTTTATTCAAAATATTAATTCTATTCCAAAAAAAACATTATTAAATATCTAAAACTCATTTTTTTTTATTTGAAATATTTTTGTGAAATTAAATAAAATTAAATTAACATTAACATTAACATTAACATTTACATAATTAATTGTAAGCGATTGAAGTGTTTTAATAAGATATTTTAGCTAAATTAAAATTTTAAATATCTCGCTTGTTTTTGATAAAATAATATATTAAAGGGAAAAAAATATAATTAATATCTATATTTTAAAAAGACAAATGATAAACAATAAATTTTTCTCAAGATCATCTATATTCTTTTTAATTTAGCTAGTATTAATAATATTAATATCATAATTCAATAATTGAAGTTATTAAAATTAATTTAATTGTTTATAAGACTATAATGATCTTCACATGATTTGATGACATAACTTTGAAAGTGAACACTTTAAAAATATGTGAGTACAAATGTAAATAATATACAAAATTTAGCAATATATAAAATATAAATAGAAAATAGTATAATAAAGAATAAAGAAGCAAATATTATTTTACTATCTTATAACAAATACTCAGAATAACTCTCATCGAATACTTATATTCTCTAAATATTTATTTCGATGTATATATTTTTGTGAACAATAAGTGATTGAAATAACCAGTTAATTCCTTATAACTTGTTATAAATAATATTATCACATATAATTTTAATGCATTCTCTGATATTAGGAATTAAAGAATATTTTTATAGATTATTATTTTAATTGTAATCCAAAGAAAGAAATCTGGACATGTAATCAGATATAATAGCTTATTAAATATATTGTGATTAATTGTATGAAACTTTTTATTAAACGTCAATCTAATCAAGATATATATATTATTTCAATTATATCTTAAATTCAGTATCTAATGATATTGAAAATTTTTTTCTAAAAAATATATTCTCATTGTCTTTTAAAAAAAAAAAAATCAGTTTTTACACAATTAAATAAATAATATATATATATATAAAATATTAATTATATAAGCTAAATTATAAATAAATATATATGATGATTATATTTAATGCCTTGTGTGAATTAATTATAATAATATACTATTATTCTGTTTAATTACAAACAACATCATATAATTTATTAAAATAAAATATAAAAATATATATATATATATTTATTATTTTCTAGGGTGCTTGATGTAGAAAAATGGTACGAAAATAGTCCCTTCAACGTGATTCTCTGTCTGAATTTATTGGATCGTTGCGATCGACCTAACACTCTACTTCGCCGCCTGAAGTCATCTTTAGCTCCAGGTGGTCGTTTGGTCGTAGCTTTAGTTCTTCCATTCAGCCCTTACGTAGAAGTTGGTGAAAGAGGTGACCACAAACCGTCGGAATATTTGCCAGTAAAAGGGAACGGTCTAGAAGGTCAAATAGCTAGCCTTGTCGACAGAGTTTTCGCACCATTAAGTTTAAGATGTCTGGCATGGAGCAAACTGCCTTACCTTTGCGAAGGAGATCTCGGCCAAGCATATTATTTTCTTGACGACGTGGTATTTGTTCTAGAAGCACAGCCAGTTAGTACGCAATCGTGTGAATTTCCAATAAAAAAATGTTTCTATAATCTTATACGTTAGAATCTTTTAGGATAGCTCACGATACTCTGCTTCTGAATGGATAGATATAGAGCCATCTGGAAGAAAATGCTGTAACATACTTGAACAGAGTGGTAACGAACAAAATACAGGTAAGTCACACTTGTAAAAATTTTAATGATTGCTGTTCATCAGTTAGAATTATGCAAGAATACAGAAGAGCAATACTGGCAAGCGACAACGAGCTTAATGTGCAAATATAGCGGTAGCATTGGTGTATTATAATTCATCATCATTAATCGATTGTCCATTTATGCAATCGCTAAATGAACAACGACGGTGCGCATGTTACAATGATCTTACTGTCAAAGTCAGAAGGTGCAGAAAACTTGTACACGGTTCCTATTGATATTAAATATGACGCGAGAGCGATAAAATTTGGAAACTGGATTCTGAACAACAGTTCATACAGTCGCAACTTTACCTCGCATACACCTAAAACATTTAATTTGTTTCGAGATTCGGTTTTTTGTACCTTTTATCATCAGACTTTGTTTCCGTGCTCCCTCTTTCTTCTTTTTTTTATTTTTTTTTTATTTTTTTTATTTTTTTATTTTTTTATTTTTTTTATTTGACATACACCTAGCGACTTAATCATGGATATGCTTAATCGTGTCAACGCTTTGACAACAAGATAAACGGCGACACGTTACGTTAGTCTTGTAATAACTACTAGAAGAAATAGGTTCATTTAGTCGTTTTTGCAAATACACTTTGGCGTGTAACAGGTAAATCGTCAAAAATTATTTAAAGATATTATAGCAGCCTTACTTTAAGATCATATCGATTAACAGAAAACAAAGAATATACAGGACTTAAATTTCGGTGATATGTATTTCAGATTGCATGCATTGCGCAATTTCTAACATTTTGTGTGTTGAAATGTGGATGGCTCATAACTGAAACTACGACGTGTTTTATCTACTAATTTCATAATAATAATACATATAAACAATAAAAAATATAAGAAACCATAAGATTAATTTTAATAATGTCAATACTTTCAATTTAAAAAAACATATTTGAAATTTATATATATTCATTATATATTTATTAAATTTCATCAAAAAATTTATAATAATGATATTAATATACTTTATTATTTCATACTTAACATTTCATGTTATTTTTCTAATATTAATATAATATTTTCTAATATAACAAAATTAATTGAAATGAAAATATAAAATTAAAATAAATAATTTAATATTTTATCATATGTTAAATATCTTTACGTTATTATATATATATAGATATATATATCTTTATCAGCTACATCCGCTACTAAACTATATCATTTCATATTGTTTGAAAATTACGAAAATAAAATGTTTTTGTCTTTACATATTTTTTTATATATAATAAGATCCATTATTTTACAACTTGCATATGTAACAAATTATTAAAAAATATATTTTAAACAATGTAAGTAATTTCAAAATATTCTTGAATTGTTCTTCTAGATATTAATATAACTAATAATTAATAATTGATATTTAAATAATATGAAGTTATAAATGAATTGGTATAGAAAATTATTTAAGATTGTAAAAAATTAAGATGTAATAATTTTCAATTCAACTCATAATATCAAATTAAATAACTTTGAAAAAATTCAAATTTTATTATGATTTATTCATCTTATTTAAATTCATTTAAATGTTATCGTGTATATTAATAATAAAAAAATTATTATTATATTATATATTTTTTATATATTATATAAAATATTAAACAATAAATCTATTTCAACAAATAATTAATAAATTTAATAAAATAACTTAGTAAATTTAAATATAAAATAGTCAAAATATTTCAAATGAATGAAATTATTATCCTATTTTATGTAAAAAATGTAAGAAAATTTAAATCTATGAGAAGAAATTTAAAAAGAAATACTGCACATACACAGATAGTGTAAATTGCTGATCACAGAAATCTGAGCCCTGTTAACAATTGATCATTATAATTGCTGCAAATGTTAAAGATAAATAAATATACATGCGTTTTATAACAGACACGTCTATAGAAAGATGTCTAAACAGAAACACACATTCGCACACATTCATATAAAATTTTGCTATTTGATAGCCGAAACTTTACAATCATCGAACCTGTATATAACAAGATTCATCAAAGCATTCATCCATTTTACACACATTCCTTACACAAATTTACTGTTTATATTCAGAAATATAGAGTTCAATATTTTGATATTATCGAGCAAGAAGGAAACATTTTACCATCGCAGATATGCGTATAACAATTGAATTTAAAACGATTTTATTCTACAACCAAAATAAAATGCATTTTATCGAAAAATTTCGATTGAAATAATGCATGATATTTTTTTTCTTTTCTCTCTTTTTCTTTTCTTAGTTTATTACGCATTTCGCGGTTGTCAAAGATAATACCATTTATAATATCAGTGCACAGAGAGAAAATTTTGAGCATTGGTGCAAATCACGCTACAAACATTTTTTAATAATGTAATTTTTTATTCTTTTCTTTTTTTAATTGTATATAGTAATGAAATAATTTATTTCTTGAAAAATATCTATAAATTGACCAATGATTTCGTTTTTTATATGTGCACACCGCATGTTACTGCCCATGGAGCTTATAAATTATTGTAAATTTTAACATTAACTTGACAGATAATAATATTAGACATAACAACAATATATGTTTGATCTATTTTTATAAATAAACAATAATTTATACAGAGAAATTTTTAAAAAACTATATATATACGCATATATAGTAATTGAATATTTATTTTAACTGGATAATTTTTGTTAATTCATTTCATTTAAATCAAAACAATATCCTATAATTTATGTAATAAATATTCAAAAATTAAATAATGCGAGGTCGAGTAACAACAAGAATTATGATTGCTTATATATACTCTCATATTTGGAGTATTTATAACAATATTTAATTAGTAAATCTTTCATATTTATATGCAAGACTAAATTTAATTTTTATAATTTGTGTAAACTTCCAATACATACATAAAATTTGCTCATATAACAAAAAACATCTTCATAATAATGTTAATCAGGTATCATTGGAACACAAGTGGTGAGATATTAAATCAATGCACAACAATAAAATATAAATGCCATTTTATAATACATATTCATAATATGTAAATTATTTATTATAAGGTAGATAATTCAAAACTATCTTTCCCCACAATTATAATTTAAATAAACCCCATAGGCAGATTATAAAAATTCACAAACTTAAAGCAATGAAATAAAGCTAATTTGAATATGAATAACGGTGTGAATTTCGATTGACTATATATAAATTTATTTTCACTACCCACGTTTATCACAGTCCACGCATGACTCGTTTTGTCTCTTAGTATTTTGAAGTCCTAAACGCCAACAACATTTGAGCAATCCTTCGGGTTGTTTAAATACAAAACACCCATCTAACCCATAAACACCACATGACTAGAACATCATAGAGAGCAAAGACAAAACTTAGTCTGCCGCTTAAAAAGCGAAGACATATGTTTAGTCTAGCTTGCGTTGTTCGCATAACTCCTCTAAACCTCCAGTCTTTCTGCATAAAAATTATAACTCTTTATTTGATATCTCTAGTCATGTAACGAGGGTATATACTTAAAATGTAAACCATAAGAGATACTTACAATGATGGGAGATAAGGAGTACCCGTATGATCTAATCGATGTTTATCTTCATTTTTCCAGCTTGAAACAGGAATATGTGGAGGTGGCAGAAAACTTCTTAATGACTGTACAAGCTGTATTGTATCCACCAATGCTGTAAAACAAAATCAAACCAAAACATATATATTTCTATTTCATTAATGGAAGAAAATTGGCAAAAGATATATGAAATAATCATAAAAGCAGTATTTGATATCTGATAATATCACTCGTTAATATAATATAAAATATAATTAATTTATAACAAAAATTTATTTGTAAACCTAACAGAAATATTATATTAAAAGATAAATATTAAAATAGATTATATATAACATATTTTATTACTTTTTTGTAAAGCTTCTGATTGTTTTCCATATGGTTTGCACATTGCAGGACGTACACAAGCTTTCATTCTTGCCATATTCTTCATAACTTCTGCAAAAGCTCTTACAATTTTTTCTTGTCCTCCTATAATATAATAATCATTAATAAATCATTTAAAGTTGACAAAGTATCTCATCATTTTTTACAGTATGAAAAAAAATTTTATAAAAAAATATATGAATTTAAAAAATATAAATTACATTAAAAATTATTTTAAAATTTAAAATTCTTTTTTAAATATAAATTATTTTGTTTTAACACAAATTAAAAAAAAATATATATATAACATAATTTTCATAAAATATATTTAATGATATATATTTAATAAAAACTATCATAAATATTTAAAAAAAGAAAACTTTATGAAAAATTTAAAATATAAAAATTAAAGATTTAAAAAATAAATAAATATTTTATATTCATGTTTTTAAAACTCATTTTAAATATTAATTTTATAAATCAAAATCTATTAACCTTCTGAATTTGAAGATGCCCGAGATCCTTTCTCATTTTCTAATGGCCAAGCTCCATTATGTAAAGCTAATAAATCTTTATTTGCATTTCCTATTCCTTGTAAATTTCCCAAACCAAGTCCACTGAGATTGTCCAAATTATCCAAATTCGTTCTTAAAAAGTCTGTTAATTTATGATCAGATATTGGAATATTAGGTATTAAAGATTCATAATGTTGCTTGCCAGTAGTTTTTTTTTCTTGTGACACAGGTCGATGTGGAATATTTAATGATGGACGGCTTGGAGGACGTTGAAGATTTATTTGGTTTCCAGCACTTCTCATTTCAGTCAAATCTGCTGTTGACCCTCCCATATGAGTATTTGGATTAGCAGTACTTAATGTCTATAATAAAAGGACATAATTAATTTATAAAAATGTAAAAATAAATTTAAAATGTTTTGTTATATAAATTAATAACAAAAAAAATTCATGCTTACTGCTTGAAAATCTGTATTATGAGGAAAACTACTACGTAAAAGAGAAGCTGTTGTTTCATTTTCCTGAATATAAGTTGGTGCCATATGTCCCATTTTTTGAGTTAATTCAAGTTGATTTTTGTAATAACGACAAGCAGGATTTGGACAGTTTTGTACCACTTCTATTATAAATTCTTTTTCCATACCAAAACATTCTCGTCCAATAGTATATGATTCCATAACAGCTCTAACTGTTCCTTCTAAGCCTAAATGTAGACCATGTGGACCATTCATATGCTTTAACATCACAGCATTTGCAAAATGTTCATATGGCAATATTATTTTTCCATTTTCCCTAAGAACTAGTCTTCCCTGAGAATCCAGAGCAATTCTTGATGCCATCATCCTATTTATATATTATAAAATATGTATTTAGAATTTTATGAAAAATTATTTTTTATAAATATATTAATAATTATTTTATTCAAATAACTTTATATAATTTTTATATGCATAACATTATATAAACAATACAAAAGATTAAGTATTCTTACTGCAAATAGGCAGCACTTGGAATCATAGATGCATCTTTAAATTCAGAAAAGCATTGCAGCAATTCAATGCTTGGATTCCAACCTTTGTTCTGAAGATAGGCTTGTAATAACATATACATTTTCTCAGTAACATAACCAGCACTACTTGGTGTTCCAGGATAACCTGATCCTCCGCCTGGTGGTCCCATTTCGGTTTGCATACCTTTGGCAACAATATTTTTCATAGTTTCTGCCAAGTCCATTCTGTATAAATAAAATTATCTCTATTAGCCCCCCCAAAAAAAATTAAAAAAAATGTCTACAATTAAAAAACTAAAAAGCACATCATAAACATAAATGTAGATTAAAATTAGTTGCTAATGTTATGTGTAATTCATAATTCAATTTTTGTAGGAAAATATAATTTTAATTAACAGAATACTCTTAATTTCAATTTGACGATTATATTATAGATTAATTGATCGAATATTTTTGAACAATTTTAATTCGTACAAAACTAATGTTTAAAATATTAAGATGTACAGTAACCGTACCGATGCTAATTGACACATGTAATAAAAAAGGGTCAGGAAAATGTGTGTAGGTTGCCAGGGTAGCAAGCTTGGCATTTTAAAAATCCATGCATATTCGAATCCTCCGGCCATTGTTATTTTCGGGATGAAGACGTCTAAAGAAACGATAAAAAAACACTGATGCGAGCCACCGCCCCCCTTTAAAAGCGGAGGGAATGAATGTTTTGGACACTCACCCCGTACCGAGCACGACTTTCACTCACTCGAAGTGTAACCGGGAACACTACAGGACCCGTTTATCACTCTAATCGCCGCTACTTGGCATACTCTCATTAATGATTCTTCTCACATTTACGAATAACATAAATCGTGATAATTATTTCCGCAAGGATTGTTTGCGCAGCTGGCCGCCAGAGGCGCATTGCCTTCACGATTTTTAGCGTATCCACGTATATATGCACCTAAGGCATTTCAACGCTTATGCGACGCCACTTTGCGCATTTATCAATATTATTTTTTACAATTGATAGATTTGACAGTATTCAAATATTTCCTATTAATTGAAAACCGTATATTATGATTTATCTTGTCTCATATTGTTTTATTGATATTTAATATTAAAATGTTTATTTTTTTTATAATGTATTTACATATTTGTGTTTGATTATCTATATTATTAAATTGTATATATCTATATTTAATTAAATTCTACAATTATATTTTTCAAAGCAAAATTATTATTTTATTTTATTTAAAAATCGATGCATATATATTTATTATTTTAATTATTATTTATATATATATATATAATTATTTTAAAATTCAATAATCATAAATTTTACATTTTGATATAATTTTTATATTAAGCAATTAATTTTTTAATATTATTTTTAAAAATCTAACGTTTTTTATAGTATTTTTTTATTTAAAAATAGTTTAATTTAGAAGTAAAAATAAAAGTTTTTTTAATTTATATTATATTATTAAATAAATTATATTATTAAAAATTATTTTGCACTTTTATAAAAAATTGTATATAAAAATATTATAATATTATTGTTATTTATTTTACTTCATAATATTTGCTTACTTAATGTGTTTATTTGTATTAATTTATATATACAATTAATATAACTAAAACTAAATTTATATCTTCAACATTTATTTTATTTGCACTTATACAATTATATATTTATAAATAAATATATATCTATATGATTTAATTCATATAAATAATCAATTTATATTAATCTTTAGTCTATAGAATATTTATTGTTATATTTATAATATTAGTATTATATATTAATATCTTATAGTTATATATATAAGCATATGAAATTTTATTTTAATTTCACTTTGAACAAAATTCAAATTTAAATTGCTTATATAGCAGTGATACCAATTACGAAAGTAGAAAAAAATATTCCAAAGAGCGTAAACATGGCCTCGCGGTATAATCACGCTATTCAGCGAGTTTTAGCAAAATTAGAAGCATCTATAAATTCGGAAAATTATTATGAAGCTCATCAAATGTATAGAACTTTATACTTCAGGTACGTTAATAATGTAATTAATCAACATCGTCAAAGAATCATTTTTACACAATCATCGATATGATTGCTTAACCTCTTTTTCAGATATCTTGGACAGAAAAAGTATTCGGAACTTTTGGAATTACTATATAATGGTTCTACACTTTTATTACAGCACGAACAAGTATATAATCTATTCTTTCTTCCTTATTTTTATTAATTTTATTAAATATAGCATTACGAGAAATATCAAAATGATGTCATAATGCATATTTCTGAGCATTATTTAGAAATTCTTTTCTCGAACAATCTATAATTAAATTTTATTGTCAGTTATTAATATTTGCTACGTTAAATTTTTTTTTGTTTTTTAAATAAGAATTAGAATATTTTAAAGTCCAATTTTGAAGTCCAACAAATGAAAATGTTTTATATCAATTAATAATAATATAATATTTTGAATTATTTGTAACATATTTGCAATTTATTCATATTATACTAAATATAAAAAAATATTGTATTATTATTTTTTTATTATTTATAGCATGCAAGTGGAGCTGATTTAGGAATTTTATTTGTAAATGTTTTAACACAATCAGGAACAGAACCTTCTCAAGATTATTTTGAAAAAATTACAAACTTGTTTAGTATAATGAGTCCTTTATCACCTGAAAGAGATGTTTTTGTACAATCTGCTCTTCGATGGAGTATAAAGAATACAGATTATAAAATAGGTCATCCAGATTTGCATCAAAAAATAGCACAAGTATTTTGGAGAGGTAATTTATTTATGATTTATAATATATTAAGACTAAATTTTGTTAAAAATTAGATATTTTAAATTTTCAATCATTATCACAGTAATATATATATTTTTTTTAGAAAAAAATTATGTAATGGCAAGACAACATTTCATATATAGTCGAGATGGTTCTGGATGTGCTGCAATGCTTGTTGAGCTTCATGAACAACGTGGTTACAAAAATGAAATAGATCTTTTTATAGCCCAGGCAGTCTTGCAGTAAATATTCTCATCTTATTTATTTGAACATCTAAATAATACTCAAAAAGCTTAAAAACAATGTAAAATATATCTTAAAAATTGTTTTAATTCATTTTTAGATATCTCTGTTTACAAAATAAAACAACTGCACAAGAAGTTTTCAATTCTTATACTTCACAACATCCGAAAATAAACAGAGGTCCACCATATCTTCTACCTTTATTGAATTTTTTATTTTTTTATTAAAAATAGTTGATAGGTGAGTACAAAATTTTAATTTATTCATTTAATAAATAAAAATTTATATCAATGTATATATTTTGCTTTTCAGTGGTAAACTTGCTGTATTCACAGTACTTTGTGAGCAATATCGAATATCTTTAAATAGAGATCCATGTTATCGACAGTACTTAGATAAAATAGGACAATTATTTTTTAATGTTCCATCCCCACGTCCTCGCAATCAAGGATTATTTGGTACACTTTTACAATCTTTTTTTAATGGTCTTGAAGATGAAGGTTCAGATGACGAACAAAGAAATACTGCTTCAACTTCACAAACAGCACAAGAGCTTGATTGATTAAAAGTTACACGTCACTGTGCAATGTGATGAAAGTAAATAATTAACTTATATATGTGTATATATATATGTGTGTGTGTTTGTGTATGTATGTATATATATACATATATATATATATATATTTATAGTAGTGTCCCATATATTTTCAATATACACATTATGTTGATCTTTTTAGATCTTTGAATATATTGAAATTAATTTTTTTAAATGATTTGTACAGATAAACTTATTTAAAATAAAAATATGTGGGATGCATTTCTAGAGGAATTTTTCAAAGTTATAAGTTAGGATTCATCAAAAAATAAACCTGCATAGAGACAAAACTTTCATGAAAAATAGTAACTCATATGTATCTTTCTGTCATTCATCTGCCTGTTTTGATATTATATTCGAAGATTATTTAATATATTGGAACTGGGATAAAACTTTCGAATCATATATATAGAATCCTATTTAAATTACTGTGAAATTTAAAAACAAACATGAACTTTGAATAAAATCCTTGTACTAATAATAATCTACATATAATAATGTATGTTTAAAAAAAAAACATGTATTTGAGTATAACTGCTGAAATGAAGATTTATTTTATATAAATTTAATCGTATGACAAATAAACGTGACATAACATTTATAGCTACAGAAAAGAGTGCTTAATGAAATTACTTGTTGCTGAAATACTAAATAAATGGAGTGAATCATACGTAAGTAATTGTCATAGCAGCAAGTAAAATATTTATTTATTATAAACTCTATACTAGTATAATTTATATCGTTTAAAAATTTTTAGCAAAAAAAAAATTCGTATTTAATTATGAAAATGAAATGGCCATAATTCTATAATAAAGCACGTTTCTGTACTGATAAAAATAATGTACAATTGCTGTGTATTGAATCGAAAAGTATAGGAAAAAAATATGATCAAGAATATAGATTTGTGATGAGTATAAACAAACTTATGTATATTCTTGTAATACATATATAGTATACAAAGTATCCTTTTATTATGAGATTTGTTACAATTTATTTTTCCATAATTTATCAACACAGCAAATATTGTACAAATATTTAATGGTTTAGATTTGTTACAAACACACATAGTGTGTTATTTTTAAACTTTTAAACAGAAATAAATTAAATTTTGTTAATAAATTAAATTTTTCAAATATATTGATAGAAGTGATATGTAATTGTTTTCTATATTAGTAATGATATAATATATATCATATTATTTAAGAATTTATTAAAATTTATACCGTACAAATACTATATATGGACATATTATTCTTATATATAAAGAATTTATCATAAAACAATAAATTCAAATATAAAATATTGAAATATTACAGATATATAATATAAGTAAATGAAAATAACATGCGAATAGAAGATTTGTGTTATGTACAATTATAATTTAAAACATTTTATTTTAAATTTATTTTAAAAATGTTATATACTTCATAAATAGAATTTTAATTATTTAATACTAACAAAACATTTAAACTAAACAAGGAATATTAATTCTAATAACTATTATAATTCTAAATAAATTTGTTTTTAAGAAATAATTGAGTATAGATAATATAGATAAATTAATTATAACATTATAACTGAAAAACATTATATTGATTGATATAAATATTATTTTTAATGCACATTAATTTTTAATAATTGAAATGAAATCTTAATGAATAAATAAATTATGGCCGATTGTTGATTAAAATTATATAACAAACAAAGAAATATGAAAATAAGATTAAATATTATATATAAAGTATAAATAGATTTTGTGGAATAGCTTTGGAAGATCTGGAGATTAAAACAAGCACAAAAAATATGCAAAATGTTATTTGAAGCTTATTTATTAAGTTATAAGCAATTTAAATTTACATTAAATAAAATGAAATGGTTTTATTTTTGTTTTGCTTTATTTAAGGCAAATCTCAGTTGCTTATAACAATAAATAAATCTTATCCGTCATTTTTGTATAATAACTATTGTGTTTGATGTAATTTATACAACTCTTCAAAGATATCCCATAAATATATTAATATCTTATATATAATTAAATTATGAATTAATTTTCACTTAAAATTGATAAAAAATGAATAATAAAATAATTAAATGTCAATAATTAATACAGCAATATATTTAGAATTTTAAACAAAAAATTATATAAACAAATTATAAATGATAAATTTTTTATGTGTAATGGCACAGAAAAAAATTTTAATATTTTTTTATTTATATAAGCTTGGAATTATATTTTCAAATTTTTTAATTTGTAGTAATAATTTATGCGAATAAATTTTCATTTTACATTTTACAAAATTTAATTTATATATATAAAAAAAAAATTTGGTTGCAATAACGAGTGTACAAAGTTTTTAAAAATCATAAAAATCGTAAAAAGAAAAAAGAAATTTATTATACTATATGAATAATGCAATATTGTAATTCATATAATCTAACATTTTTTAATTGTAATTAAACATTTTCTTGTATTTAATTTCTCAATATACTCATAATAAGCATTTTTTAAATAATTTACATGTAAAAATATTATATATGTATATAACTACATATTTCACACAAAATTCCTACATACATACGTTTGTATATCTTATGAGTAAAAAGTGTTCATAAAACAAAGATGATCTTTGTTCATTTTTTTTACAAAATTAATAAAAAATAAATGCAATATAAAAAATTAATTAAATAAATCAATATTAAATGAAATAATATTATTAATATGTTTCAAAACCAGGAATAGGAAATTGCTTAGAAAATGTTTCAACTTCTTTTCTTAAAGCTGCAACTTTTGCCTTTATATTAGCATCAGTATTTAATACTCTTTTATAGTCAACAAGTTTAGGACCAGAAATATTAGATACTTCTTTAGAAAGTAATAGTCCTAAAAAATATTTAAATATTTGTATAAATATTTTTTATACATGATTACATTAAATTTTAAATTCTATTTTAATATATTCTTTTAAAAGATGAATACCTTCATGTATAAAGTTTACAACTTTATCAATATCTTTTTCAATTAAACCACGAGTAGTTAATGCAGGTGTACCAAGTCTGATACCACTACAATTCAATGCACTTTTATCACCAGGCACTGTATTTTTATTGCAAGCAATAGAAATACTCTCCAAAATTTTTTCCGCTTTAGCTCCAGTAATACCTGTAGATCGTAAATCTACAAGCAACATATGAACATCAGTTCCATCTGTATTAATTTTATAACCATGCTCTTGTAATTTTGAACATAGTCTTTTTGCATTAGCTATAACTTGTTTCTGATATTGAAGAAATTCTGGTGATTTGACTTGTTTCATTGTTGTAGCTATGCCTGCAATTGCATGATTGTGAGGTCCACCTTGTAATCCTGGAAATACAGCTTGATTAATTTTATCTTCTAAATCATACATAATTTTTTGACCATCTTTTCCAATTTTTCTAACTCCTTTGCGAAAGAAAATAACACCTGCTCGAGGTCCTCTAAAAATTTAAAAAAATAAATATTATCTAATGAAATATGAGAAAAAATAAAACTAGAAGAAATTAGACTAAAAATAAAACTAGAAATTAACTAAAATCATTTATTTATATTATTAATTATAAATTAGCAATTACCTTAAAGTTTTATGTGTTGTAGTAGATACAACATCACTATATTTAAATGGGCTAGGAATTAATTCAGCAGCTACCAACCCTGCTACATGAGCCATATCACTAAATAAATAAGCATTATTTTCTTCTGCTATTTCTTTGAATCGTTTGTAATCTAAACATCTACTATAACAAGATACTCCTGCTATTATAATTTTAGGCTTAAATAATCTTGCCTCTTGAGCTAATTTATCATAATCAATTAAACCAGTATTAATATTAACTTTATATGGTTTTGATTCAAAAAATAATGATGTTGCAGAAACTTTTTTATTTGCAGTAAAAAAACCTAAAAAGAATTTCATCCATTTAATATTTTTAATTTTAATTTATAATATTCTTATGAATTTATATAAAATACCATGTGTAAGATGCCCTCCATCTGGAAGATCTAAACCCATTATACGACCATGAGGCTCAATTACACCTGTATAAACAGCAAAATTAGCTGGACTTCCTGAATATGGTTGAACATTACAACCCCATTCTTCAGGATTTAAATTAAATGCTTCTAAAGCACGTTTTTGTGCTAATAATTCAATTTCATCAATATGTTCATTTCCTCCATAATATCTGAATATGATGATAAGAATAATTTTAACAATTAATTTTAATCATTAATAAACAAATATGTGAAAAGAAATTAAATAATAAAATAAGAATAAATTAAAAATAATAATAATAATAAATTATAAACAATACCTTTGACCAGGAAGACCTTCACTATATTTATTATGAAGGCAAGAACTTAAACATTGAAGAACGCTAAGAGATGTAAAATTTTCACTAGCAATCATTTCAAGACCAGATTCTTGCCTTTTTTTTTCTTTTTTTCATTAATTCAAAAAGCTCTGGTCTGTTTCCCAGATATTTTTATAAATTAATCCAGGCATATGCTACAATATATATATATATATATATGTAATAATTTAAATTTCTTAATATTTATTTTATATATTAAAAATAGATTGATAAATTAAAATTTATTTCATATAATATAAAAAATATATTGAAACTACTTATAGCTACTTATAGCTATTTTATAGCTAATAAATACTTGTTTATTTTTTAACTCTGTAGGAGGTATTATTGTGCAACTTTACTTATTATTCTGATAAAGTTCAATGTTTTCGTTGATAACCCTTTGTATAATGACACAATAAAATGGAAATCTAAATATACTATATACATATATATAAAATGTATTTATTATTATTTATTTTATATCACTTGTTTATTTTATATTATAATTATTGTATATGTATTTATAAGCATTTTAAACAATATTTTTTATAATTTAATAAATATATAATATATATTCTTATTTTAATCAAAGAGAAGAAAAGAAGATATATAAAAATTTATATATTAAAAGTTAAAATATATAAAAAATAAAAATAAAATATATAAAAATATAAATATTAAAAGTTCATATATAAATTATTTAATTAATTAATTAATACAATATTATTTGTCAGAATAATAAAAAATTAAACATAAATTGTTTTATATTATTAAAAAGATTAAAATTATATATAAATTAATACAAAAACATACATGAATATATTGTATAAACAATAAATACAATTCTAACAAATTAAAAAAATTAATATATATCTAATTTATCTCAAAATATACATAAAATTTGTGGAATGTTTTATTACTATTAACTACATGAAAAAATCTATTTTTAACAATAAATAATTTATAAAATCACTCACGAGTTTAGATGTGCAACAGGTGGTTGAGAAATATACGTTGGGATTAGAATCACCGCGAAAAACTTCTGAATTATATCCTTGAATAGCATGGTCTTTTATATGTTTTGTTCGAGTGATTAACCAATTTTCAACCAATCGAAAACAGCGTTGATTTATATTCGACCAATTCACAGTCATAATAAGAGTCTTAATAATTTTCTTAAATCATATATAAAAACTCATGAAATACATATAATGAGAAAAAAAGATATTCGTACATTTTTTAAAATGGAATAATTTTTTTAAAATTAAACCAAATGACTTGAATTTTTTTTAAATGCAAGAATTAATTTAATAAATATGTAAAAAAAAATTGTATAAATTGCTATTAGATGAAATTGTGAAAAAAAAAATAAAAATTATGATTTTTCACTT